AAAAAACAAAAAGACAATTTTTAGTGTTGAGGGCTAGAAGAGCCCAAGATTCTATATATAAACTAATTAATAACACAAAAATAACTATATACTTTGGCCAGAACGACCTCAAGTGCATAGAATTAAATATCGTTTCAAATGCAGTTGTTGCCGATGTTGACTACCCACCGCTATCATTATCACCGAGAGGGTTATTGTTGATGTTGAGAAACCACTGCTACCATTATCACCGAGAGGAGTGTTGTTGATGTTGAGAAACCACCACTGCCATTTTCACCGAGACCATTTCCACCGAGAACAGTTACATTGATAGGGTTGCATGAAGCCCATAAAGCCCATATCGGCTCGTTAAGTTACATTGATAGGGTTACATGAAGCCTATATCGGCTCGTTAAGTATGGATTTTTAGTGCTGATTGGTCTGGTTTCTTTCAGACAAGATAATCTTGAAGGTGTGGGGTGTGGGTGTGGATGTGGGTGTGGGGTGTGTGGGTGTGGGTGTGGGGTGTGGGTATGGGTGTGGCTGTGGGTGGGTGTGGGTGTGGGTGTGCATGTGGGTGGATGTGCGTGTGGGTCTGCGTGTCGATGTGTCTAGTTGTAAGCCTACATACCCACATTCACACCCACACCCATTTTTTTCGTTCGATGAGAACGAACGAAGGAACCTAACTTGTTTTTGGTTAAACCCTCCTTCCAGTAGACGAAACAACATATTCCAAATAGAAACCGTTTCATTCGAGTCGTGATCTGTTAACATAAATGGAAAATAATCAGTTAATTTTAAATTTCCATAAAATTTATTGTACTTTGTGGAACATGCTGTTTTTGGGAACGATCAACATTGTTAGCTATACTAGAAATCGTCCTCCAAGATATTAGGATATTTCGAAGAGTTTATCCACGATGTTCGATAAAATTTGTATAGAATTGCAACAGTAGATAGTCACCTTTGTGGTAGACTGTGTCTCCACAGAAATCGATGAGATATCGATTCGATGCTGTTTCAAAAGTCTCAATCAAGGATTGATGAACGATATACACAAATAGTTGGGACTTCTGATTAAGAAGAATCGGTTACAGCGTGAGTGGACTGAATCATAATATTCTTGTATAATGCTTATATGTCATTGGAAATGAATATTATCAATTAGTTGCATATGGAGTCAGTGTAGTCGGTGATGTTCATTTTATTATCTGATTTTATGCGACGTACGTAATGTAAATAGTTAAAAATCTAAATAAAGTTATGATAAATTGCATTGCTTTTATTATTTTCTTTCGTTAGCAAAAGCACGTAAAAATTTGAAAAGATCAAGATCGGTCAAGTAAAAAGAATTCATGCCTGCTAGCCGATATAGCGGTCAGTAGCCATCAACGCTTACATTACTGGAATAGTATTCTAATTATTAATGCACTCTCGAGCAATGATGAATATGTCAAAGAGATTTAAGCGTTGAACGTCAACTACAATAACAAAACAGCAACAGTATTGTATAGTTACATATCATTCTTTTCTATTCTTCAACAGTTTTATTTACCCTTGATAAGAGAAGATTAAAACTCACTGTCATCATCACTTGATTAGAAATAGCTTTGTTGCATCCAGGTGAGTGCTACATGTCGTATCGACAGCTAAACATTTTTCGATGATTAGGTATCATTCAAAAAACCAAATGCCGTTCGTCGTGCTTCTATACTCCATGGTTAGAGAAACGGTTCTATGTACCAGTTTTTGTCATGGGTTCGATTTTCGTTTGAAATATTTTTTATATTATGCTCGTTTATCGAAAGTTAAAGAAAGTAAAAGTCAATATTGCGTAATTGCGCATACTTCTTTTCTATCCTTTAACAGTTGAGTACGATAAAGTAACTATGTATAGAACAACAGTGAGATGTATATCGACAAACTGATGTATGAGGTAGAATTGGATATGATTGCAAGCAAAGAAAAAAAATGTTGCACCATAATCACTGCTGAAATTCTAAAAATATTAACATTTGTATGCTGTCCAGTTACACTTTCACAATAGACTACACATTTGATGAACGTTGAATACTTGCAGGATATGGCACTATGTTTATAAATACATTCATAACAATGTTTCGTTTATGAGACGTACTGCAGTTTGCTACTGCAGTTTTTCTGTAGGTGCCACTGATTGGAAAGAGATTTATTACAAAGAATCGAACATTATTTGAAAATTGAACAAATACTTATTAAAATAAGTTTTCATCTACCTTTTAGCAATTAATCATAGCATTAAATATTTATTTGCTTACTTTATTTTGACTGGGTGAATGACATTCGAAGGGGGAAAACACGTGATGCTTTCATATAATCACAAAAGTAAAAGTATCGTTAGAACAGTGTACAATACTCTAATAGCCAAGAATATTCCCGTTTAGTTCGACGATCGAGACATGGACGATAATTTGTACGACAGGTACAGATCATAGCGTGGAGGTCTTTTTTCTAAAGTCATAGTTTATTCTCTTCTCATATTTAGTATGGCTGCAGCGGTCAACAATGCCTCAGTTATCTGCTGTTTTATGACACCAGAATATGAAAATTCTGAGAATTGTAAACTGGAATTACAACATGCAAAAAAGCTTCGCAAACGCATTATCCCATGTATGATGATTAATAGAAAAATACGGAAACCATCTTCAGACAAGTGGCTAGATTTTATCACTGGCTCGATAATAGCTATGGATTTCTCCGATGCCTCTGAATCAAACATACTTGCCAAAGTAAATGATCTTATCGATAAAATAAAAAATCAACCTTCAACTTCAGCGACTGACCATCTGCAAATTAACTTGTTTGATCAAGTGAAAGAAAATTATTTACGAAAAAATCGCATCGTGCGTCTGATGAATGAAGAAAAAAGTTTCTCTATTGATCAAAGTTACATTAATTTGGCCATAGTAGAGACCAAAGAGCACCAAGAAAAGGAGAAGAAACTGAAACAACAAGGGACATCCCTGATGCTCAACCAAGAAGACGAAAACGATAAACGTCGCTCACATCAACACAATGAAATTCTCGGTACTTTTGAAGAGATATATGGCAACAAGACTACTATTGATGTAGAGAATATTTTCGAAAAATGCAAAGATCAAACAAAGAAAGCGCTCGTGCTTGGACGAGCTGGCATTGGAAAATCAACCTTTTGCCAATATGTTACTTACCGCTGGGCAAAAGGTGAAATTTGGCGTCAATATGAACTCGTTATTCTAATTCGGTTACGCTCGTTGACACAAAGTCGATATTCATCAGAAAAAAAGTACCTACCCATTGATCTTGTAGAGAAAGAATATTTTGAAGTTGATGATATATCCGATGAAATGAGACAAAACTTCAAGGAACAGTGTAACAAAGGTCGTGTTCTATGGATATTAGATGGTTATGATGCATTTGCTCAAAATATTCCCGAACAATTAAAAGGTGTGTTTCAGCATATATGTGAGACACAACATCATATATTAACATCTCGTCCATACGCAATCACATTAGCATACGATACAAAAATGGAAATAACCGGATTCACAGATGAAAATATAGCAAAGTATATTCAACAGTTCTTTGATCAGATCACAGTCGAGTCGATAAATGCTTTGTCGAGTGGTCCGAAGCTTCAGAAATTCTTGAAGTCAAATCCTAGTATTTGGGGTATTGCTCATATTCCAGTGAATCTCGAATTAATTTGTAGTCTCTGGAGTAGTTACGACTGGTCAAAAACAACAGTATTAACAATGACACAATTATATTCTACAATAACAGAATGGCTATGTCGACGATACTTAACAAGACAAAACAAAAAATCCGAAGATATGACAAAACAAGGTGTTTATCGCAAATGCAATACGGAATTACGATTTTTAGAACAATTGGCTTTTAATGCAATGCAACGCAAAGAAATTATGTTGCCACCCGAACTGCTTGAAGAGACTGAAATCGAAGTTGACTGTTCATTAGATGATTATCCACAATTATTGAATATGGGCATTCTCAAATCATACGACGACAAGCCGATAGGTCATCGAATCGAAACAAACAAACAGCATTATTTTGTTCATCTCAGCTTTCAAGAATATTTTGCAGCACGGCATCTACTCAAACTTCTGAAGAATTCTAACAGTCAAAAAGCAATTGATTTTATCAACAATAACAAGTACAATCAACGTTTTCGTTTCGTCTTTGTTTTTGCATCAGGTCTTCTCGCACAAACAGATTATCGACTGTCAATGGACAGATTCTGGAACACGATTGAAGGAGAACCATTAGATCTTGTCGGCTTGAAACACATAACCCTAATAATTGAATGCATCGATCAACTGGTAGATACAATAGTGTCTCCACGACATGCCAGTTATTTAAAGTTAATATCACAGTGGTTAGGAATGAGTATCATGGAATCTGCAACCCCAATACGAGTAATCCTTTTGCAATCGCTCGGACGTGCCAATTCCGCAGTTAATACGTCAATTATACAAAACAAATTAATAGAACTCCTCACAACACAAGATACAAAGGCGAAGAACATCATCTACATGTTCCTATCACAATTACCAATAACCTATCCCACATCAAAACTATTATCGAAAATGTTCGCCGATCTGCATGATCAAGATTGGGTTATACGAAACAAAGTGCGTGATGCGCTCAAGAAGATAGCTGAAAAGGCAGTAACGAATGAGGTGATAGATGCTATGCTGAATGCATTACGAGATGAAGATTCAAATACCCGATGGAGCGCATGTGAAGTGTTGGGTTACATGCGCGAAAAAGCAGTAACCAATCAAGTAATTGCAGCTTTGCTGAATATGCTACGAGATGAAGATTCTAAAGTCCGAGAAATTGCGTCGAAAGTGCTCAAAAACATCGGCGAAGAACCAAAATCCGACGACGTGCTACATTCTATGATAAATGCTATTGATGGGGTTAAAGATTCTAGAGTCTGGCAGACGGCATCTACAATACTCGAGAAAAGGGGTGAAAAAACAGTTTCAATGGAGGTTATCGTTGCTCTGGTGAATGCATTTCGGGATGAACGGTTCGATGTCCGACTAGGCGCATGTAATGCCCTCAGGAGAATAGGTTCAAAAGCAGCAGTGAATGAAGTGATAGTGGCTCTGGTGAATGTACTTCGCGATAAGGATTATTATATTAGGAAGAACGCAATTGAAGTACTTCGTCAGATACGCGAAAATCTAGCAACCAATGAGATTATTCATGCTGTACTCGACCTACTTCAGGATGATAATTCTGACGTTCGGTGTAGCGCATGTGATCTGATTTGTGAAATGGATGAGAAAGCACTGACGAATGAAGTCCTCGCCACTCTTCTTAAAGCACTTAGCGATAAATGGCCGCAAGTCCGAGTAGCTGCTTGTGTAGCCCTTAGGAAAATAAACCAAAAAGCAATAACGAATGAGATGATACGTGTGGTTCTGAACGCACTTGGAGACACAGTTTCTTCTGTTCGATGGAGCGCATGTGAGTTACTCGGAAAGATGGGTGAAAAAGTAGTAACGGACGAAGTAATCCATGCTCTGGCGAAGGCACTTCGGGATACACATGCTGATGTTCAATGGAGTGCATGTGAGTTGCTTCGTAAGATGGAAGACAAAGCAATAAACAATGAAGTGATTCTTGCTTTGGTTAATACATACATGGACAAAGATTCCGATATCAGATGGAATGCACTTAAGATACTGCAGAACATGGGTCAAAAAGCGATAACAACTCAGATGGTCGATGTTCTGATGAATGCATTTCGCGATAAAAACTCTGATATCCGATGGAGCGCCGCCGAATTACTCGGGAAAATAGTTGCGAATGGAACAACGAATGACTTGGTAGCTGCCCTGCTAAATGCACTTAGAGATAAAGAATCTGATGTTCAACAGTGCGCATGTGTGGTGATCGGGCAGATGGACGTAAAAGCAGTAACAAATGAAGTGATCGATGCTATGCTCAATGTGCTTCGGGATGAAGATTCTAAAGTGCGGCGCAGTGCATGCGAGGCGTTCGGGAAGATGAGTGAAAAAGTAGCAACAAAGGAGATAATAGATGCCATGCTGAATGCAATTTCGGACCAAGATTCTGATGTTCGGTGTAGTGCTTGGGACGTACTCGGAAAGATGGGTGAAAAAGCAGCTACCAATGATTTGATCCATGCCATGTTCAATGTACTTCGAGATCAGCATTCTGGTGTCCGTGTCCGGCGAAGCGCATATGAAGCGCTTGGGAAGGCTGGTGAAAAATTAATAACCAATGAATTCATCCATGAAGTGCTAATTGCACTTCAGGATGAAAATTCGAGTGTGCGAAGTAATGCATGGGAGTTGCTCCGGAAGATCAGTGAAAAACAAGTAACAAACGAGATGATCGCTGTTTTATTGCGTGCACTTCAGAACGAAGATGCAACTGTCCGCCGTAGCGCATGTGTGATACTGAGCAACATCAGTGAAAACCAGCTAACGAATGAGATGATACATGCTGTGCTCAATACATTCGGTGATGAAGATTGGGCGGTCCGACAGAACGCAGTTGCAGTGCTCGGCAAGATGGGTGAACAAGCAGCAACAAATGAGGTGATTCTTGCTTTGGTGCATGCACTTTATGATATGAATTCTGATGTTCAACAGAGAGCATTTGAGTTGCTCGAAAAGAAGATTGAAAAGGAAGTAACGAACGAGGCAATCGATGAACTGCTTAACGCATTTCGGGACAAAGATTCTAATGTCCGATACAAGGCATTTAAAGTGCTTCTCAAAATGTGTAGAAAAGCGCCAATACCTAAGTTAATACATGGTATGATAAACGCACTTCAGGATGAAGATTCCAGAACTCGGCAGAATGCATGTGATGTGCTTCGTGAAATGGGCGAGACAGAACTAATGAGTGATGTGGTGCATGCTGTACTGAGTTTACTCCGGGATGAAGATGTTGGTGTTCGCCAGAGCGCATGTAACTTGCTTGGGAAGATAGATGAAAAACAAATAACGAATGAGGTGATCGATGCCATGGTGGATGCATTACGAGACGAAAATGCTGCTGTGCGGAAGAATGCATGCGTAGTACTCTGGAAAGTTGGTGAAAGAGCAGCAACTAAAGAGGTAATTGATACAATCTTGAATGCACTACGAGGTAAAGATGCTGGTGTTCGAAAGAACGTATGTGGTACTTCGGAAGATGGGTAAAAAAGCAGCAACTAATGAGGTGATCGATGCAGTATTGAATGCACTTATACGGGATGAGGATAGATATGTCAGACGTAACGCATGTGAGGTACTCGGAAATATGGGTGACAGACCAATAACAAATGAAGCCATCGATATGTTGATCAACACATTTGAGGATGATGATGATGATGTAGCATCAACAGCAATTATGGTGATGCGTAAGATAGGGGAACAAGCAACAACAAGTAAGGTGATCGTTGCGCTTGTGAACCGTTATACATTCACGAACAATGATTCAGATCGTTGGGTTGCAGACAGCTTGCAGAGAGCCATTTGCTCGTATGAAGCCATGTTAGAATTAGAATCGGAGATGATTACTAGACTATATTCATGTATCAAGAAGATGGACATAAAAGAGTGGACCGAGATGCCTTCGGATCATTTGTTCAAGGTTTTCTTACAAACGGAACGTATCGTGTGGGTTCCATTGGTGGTACACGCCGCATTATGTCAAGGGATAGCTGTGACTATCGTTGACAATCATCTTAGAATCTATGATACTAATGGTTTATCGGAGTTACCTATGTCTGGCTCTGCAGTGATGGAGAGCTTGGTAGAAGCTTTTCGTAATCAGAGAAGAGAACTAGAAGAAGACTCTGCAGTAGTATGTAAAGTCGCAAATAAAAGAACATAGCTACTATGCATCAGATAAAAACAAATTGTTCGTGAAGAAGAAGACATACAACGATTTCAACGTGAATATTGACGCCGTTTTGGATGTGGGTGTGTATGGGATGTGGGGTGTGGGTGGGTGGGTGGGTGGGTATGGGTGTGTGGGTGGGTGTGTGTGGGTGAGGGTGTGGGTGTGTGTGGGTGGGCGTGGGTGTGGGTGTGAGTGTGAATGTGGCTGTGGCTGTGGGTGTGTATGGGTGGGTGGATGTGGGATGTGGGCGCGGGTGTCGGTGTGAATCTTATTATCATACCTAAACTCACACCCACACCCACACTCACACCCAGACCCACACCCACACATCCACACCCACACGCACATTCACACTCACACGCATACGCACACCCACTCCCGCACCCACATTTTTTTCATTGTCTCAATTTTCTTGAAAAGTTTAATGATTATACTCTCCGAAAGTTATTAACAATTAGTCTAAGTTAGCATATCAAATGCTAGTACACTTACTCTTACTTTCTTCCCATCTTTTCCGTTTTTCCGTAATTAACAATGATCAAAAGATAGCCGTATTTTTCTTTCGAAAACAAAGATCTATCATACCTTTTTGTTTGTTTGGATGGAAAAAAAACGTCAATGTTATCATCGTAACAATAAACATGTTAAGAAAGTGTACCCTGACATTTGGAAGAAGTGAATGCCGTCCGACAAAATATTTAAAATTGATCTTGAAGTCCTCAGTGTATAGGTATTTAAATACATCATTAATGTACATTTGAGAAGAATCGTTGAAGGATGAATAATTTGTCTAGGTGTTGTCTTTTAGTATCAGAATTAATCGAAACGTGTCCAATGAATAGAAAAACATGTCTTGGTGGCATTTTATTCTAATTCTTCTGATCATTATTACATATTCATCAAAAAACGATGAGTGTATTAACTTAGCTACTGTGTGTTGATGTGGGAATTCTCCAGTTCATTCCATCGAAACTTTATGATATTGTTAGCAGATCTTGGACTTTTCCCTATTTGTTCTTGTGTATGTCATTGGGTTATTTCCAGCACACGTATATATATATATATGCGTCGTCCTCCTTCTTTTCTTTTCTTCACATCTTCATAAATCTTGTTCTCGTTCTTATTCTTTTCTTTCTCTCGTTTTTCTCCTTTGATCTATACGTGATTTTCTTTTTGTTGGAATAAACGAGCTCACGAGCAAAAACCACAATCTACACTATGGTTTTTAAAATCGTAAACGATTTTCGTACAAAATTATACATGTAGCTCATATATCAAATAAAGTTATCGATATGAAATAGGTTAATGACATGTTTGATTGTGCTGATGTTGCCTCCGGATGGGAACATGGCTAATCATTGATATAATTATATCAACTTTTTTGTTATTGATTATATTTCTATGGCTTTTGTTTTGTTGCTTTTTGAAAAAAAGAACAAATAAAAAACAATGTTATTCGGCTTCATCTGGTTGTTTCGATAAGTATACGCTAGTCTTCATCAATTAGAAAAGTTAGATAGAATTTTGTGATGAATTTGATTTTTCATAACAATATTCTTATTATCAGACAGATGAAAATAATATTGTTATGTGTTTAAATTAATTTAGTTAATAAATAGACTTCGATCCAACGAATAAATTCTTTATGATATATTGAATCCAACAAATTCTTTTTTTATTTTTAAATAAAGAAGAATATTTCATTTGGAGATTATTCTCTTTTATAAAAAATATAATCTTTAATAATTTGTCCTTTAATTGCTGTTATTTGAACATTCATTGTTTCCATATTAATTTTTGAAATATATGTTGCTGATAAATCTTCTGTCCATGACAAAACATAAAATAATTTATTTTGAAAATCCATGGAAAATGGTTTATAACCTTGAGCAATTCTAACACCATTAGGTGTTATAGTTACATTTTTGATTTGTTGTCCCGTTTGTTCATCTATTTTGATCGCAACCATTGGTGTTATAATACTATATTGCCATAATGCAACTAAACTATCTGGTTGAATATAACCAAAACCATAAACATTGAAATCAAATTGTTTTGATCCAACAAATATTTTTGTTGCATTATCTGATAAATCTAATGTAATTAATACAGTATGATCTTGTTGAAAATCATAAGCATGATAAGTAAATAATTGTGTTTGAGAATTAAAATAACTTCCAGGCATTGGTGAAATACGATCAGAAAGTTGCATGATTTGTTTTTTTATTTGTAGTGTTTCTGTATCAACTTCTACTAAATAATAGTTTCGTCGAGTTGAATCATGTATAATTGCATATAATCGATTACTTATTGGATTAAATTGTATACGATCAATCATAAAAGGTTGAATTTGTTCTGTTTGATCAATTTGATTGGTTTTTAAATTATATTTAAAAAATTTCGAAATTCCATAAAGTGTTTGGTCCATTATAAAATAAATAATTTCATTATTTTTATCATACGTATAAGTATCTATTCGGTTATTTAATGACCTGACATATTTTGGTGGATAATTACTGATTTTAAATGTAGTTAATGTCTTTGGACGATCTGCAGTATATTCATTCCATGTTGTTACAGAATAATCATTGATTGTTATCCATTCCGAAGAAATCGAACAAATTAACAAAAATAAGAATAAAATAACACACAGTAAATAATTCTTCATTATTATAAATGGTTTCTTTTATTAAATGATATCGTTTTTTAACAGTAAAATGTACTTTATCATTCTTATCAATATGCGAAGTTTCACACGTGTTGAAGAAGAAATTATATTTCGTATCCCACGTTCTTTCTTTTTAGTTTTTAGTGGCCTTCATGTCTCGAAGAGGTTTCTATAGAAATATTTGACATAGGAATAAAATCAAGACAAATTCATTATATTTTAACAAAAATATTTACGTGACTATGATTTTTTACATTTGTTTTGAATAAAAGATAGTTCTGCTCACAGATTCTTTTCCAATATAATCTGTAGATTCTTATCAACGAGTGAAAAGTTTTCAATAATAATCAGCCGGCAATGAATCGTTTTCAATCACGTGTACTTTTTTCGATGTATAAAAAAATAATACGACAATATTCTGTATAGATATGATGTTTTATTTAAGTTTGATTGCTATACAAACATGTCTCGCACGTCTTCTTCACAGCGAACTGTCAAATCAGACAGGATAGTTTCGTAATCTCTGTCTACTATTGAAAAATCATTCATTGTTTTGAACGAAAGAAATCCTTAACACAACATAGATTTATTTGAAAAAATGTCATAGAATTTTGAAATAGTCTCAATATTTGTTCTTGATCTAGTATGTTGTATTTAATTCTCTTGTTATTGTCGGAATTGGTCGATTATATCGAAAGAAATTCGACGTCCATCGACCGATTTTAGTGGCACGCTATTCGGTTGAATAGAACGATAAAGGTAAAACATAGAGCATGAAACTAATTAGTTGAGAAATAAATGAAGTAAAGTATGATGCAAGCAAAAGATATCGCTTCCAGCTAGGTTCCCAAGTTTGAGAGTACCACCTAAACGGAATGAACAAAACGATAAAGTGTGACAAAGAGAATAACTGTGAGACAAGAGTATTGCCTGGTCCAATCACTAACTCTTTTTTGTCACTTAGCACATCAAATAGAAGACGAAAATTCCTTCAGACATTGACCAGAGTCGAGCTACTTGTTGATGCCTCGTGTTGTTTATCATTTCGATCGGTTTTTTATTTTAAAATTTCAAAATGAATTTATTTTTATATTTCTCGTCAATTTTTTAATATGTACAAATATCTTTCATACGCATATTCATCTTCTTTTTAGTCACTACCCTACCGATCGTGATCGTGCAACAAATGTTGGTTAACAACCCTTGTTACGCTGTGCGCTATTGGTGCGTGTACATCATGTGCGCATTGGTGCGCGAGATATCACGCATGATATGCGCGAACTGGTGTGTTACCAAATCTGTAACATCGAGTGCGCGTTACGTCACACGGACAGAGCATAAGTACGCAAAAATGGTGCAAGCAAAGGTACTATCTAATGTTGCACCTTTTGTGTTTTCGGGTGTGGGTGTGGCGTGAGTGTGTGGGTGTGGGGTGAGAGCGTGGATGTCAGTGCGGTGTGAGTGTGTGGGTATGGGTACGTGTTGATGTTGTGTTCTATAACACCGACATCCATCACACCCACACCCACACTCACACACTCACACCCACACCCACACCCCCACCTCCACACCCATCCAGACCCACACACCCACACCCTCATAACAGACAAACTACTGGGTCAGGTTTTCGACATCGTAATAATAGGTTATCATTTCTATTTAAGTTTTCATGCGCTGATTTAAATTTTCGATTAAGCAGTAAAAAAAGCTAAAAAGTAACTAGTTTTTTCCACGGAATCTGAGCGGCAAACTTACTTTCTGTCATAAATATTCACTTCTTTTCTCGTGGCTGCCCTGCGATAAAGTCAACTTCTGTTGTGATATCAATAATTCGAGTACCTGTCTTCACTTCCTTTCTGTATACTCTATGATTAATTTGGAATTTTTCAACTTTGTAACAACTGATAACAGCCAAAAAAGGAAAGTTCTTATCTTCAACGTACATGTGTGTGTATTCTATATATAAACGGCTACTATTTAAGTGCTAAGTAATCGTAAATAAAAGCTAAATAAAAAATTTAATTTTTGCTAGGTAAGTTATTGAAAAAAATTGTAAGTAAAAAAAGTATTTTTGTTAAGTTTTTTATTTAAATTCTACGTAAAACAGTTTGATTTTCTTAGTAAAATATTGTAAGTCGCTAAATAAATATATAATTTTTGTTAAGTAAAATGATATGAATATCTAAGTGAAAAAGTTAATTGTACAGTTATTGTATAAATAGAGCTTTTGTTGTATTTCGTTGTCGTTCTTATTTTGTTTTTTTATCGATAGGTATATCCTTTGCTGATAGAGGTGTTTTACAAAACTTCAACCTAATAACTATGACTAAAATATTTTTACAAATATATTTTTTGAAGAAGCTTGGAGAATCGCAAAGTCGGTATTTTTCATTCCGACGCGTTGCTGTATTTTAGTTTTTTAATTCAATGTAAACTTTCAATGACAGATCAGCAGAAGTATACAAGAAAACGAGGGGAAGAGCGTACCGAAAAGTGCCAGACAGAAGAGATATCTGGAGAAAGCAATACAAATCTTATGTAAAAGACATAGCAAGAGAAAAACAAATAGGATTGTACTAGAGCATTTTCTAAGAAAACAGGCGCCTACATCAGAACGAAGGAATCTATAACTGATATATATGTGTGTCAGCATCCAGTGTTGGAGTCACTTCAATATTAGATCCGCCTACGTCAATCTCCGGTGCTCACTTTGGGCTGGTTCAACGTCGGATTGAGGAATTTGTTGTAATTAAACCTCAACTACTCTTAAGAGAAATGTTAAATCGAAAACTCTTGTTGATAAATGGCCTTGCAGCAATGATACTCTCGAAAACACAATGGTCGATATACAAATTTAAGTAACATTCGTGAACCTCTACGTAAATCTCTACAGAAGAACCGTTTTTTAGGAAAACTATCCATTAGAGTTCAAATTCGAACGTAGGTTCTGCATTGATGATTTTAATATACGAAGTACCATTGCTCCATCATAGTTCATCAATGAGAATTTCAATCCAACATATATCTTGAGAGTGATGAAGATTTTAATAAAAAAATTTTCTCAATCCAACAATGGACTAACTCAATGTGAACATCCGAGATTGGAGTGAATTCGAAATTGAATGTAGACATAAATATCACGATACCAGTCAAACGATGACAGAAGGAAAGCAAGAGAAAACAATATATACATTATAGTACTATAAAAAATTTTTCTTATCTCCGATAATCGTACTTTACATTTACTGGAAATTACTCAGTAATAATAATTTTTACTTAGCGATTCTATTTTTTTACTGAGCATGTAGAAATTTTACTTAGCAAACACCAACTTAGCATTTTAATAGTTTTACTTATCAAATAATTTGTAGCCTATATAAACTGTAAAAAGAAATTCTTTTTTTTTAGTTATTCACCAATTAAAAGAGTTCCGTTAAACAACAGCTATTTTCATTGTTATTGACGCTCGAAATGAAAGATTTCTTCGTCATCGTCCTCATTTGCTTTATTGAATGTGAGTATTTCAAGTTTATCAAAAAAAAATAGTGTTTTGATCTTTCATTTGTCTTTCTCTCCTCACAGCACTACAATTTCGAGATATTAGTTCCGTCGATCTTAGGCAAGTTAATGTTTCTCTTATGAGAAATAATTCATTATCAGGTCAAACGATTCAGGAGCTCATGGTGCTAGAGTCAAATAACGTTACAGATACAAGTTATAGTCCGTTGAAAAAACTGATTTTTGCACTTAATTATAAACCATCAACTACTAGAAGAAGAATTACTACAACTACTACTAGAAGAAGAATTACTACAACTACTACTAGGCGCCCCTTTAGAACAACCACCACATCATCTAACAAACATGGAAGCAAGACAAAAACAATAATTATTGGAACAAGTTGTGGATGTGGAGGTTGTTTCGGTTTAAGTTTCATTTTTTTTCTTTTATCAAAGTGTAAAAGCTAAGAATGTTTCATTAAAAAGTATTGGGATTCACTTGAACATGTGTGGAATTCAAAGCTTTTTTTCATTAAATGAATTGTTTTTCCATATAGGATCATAATTTTTCTGTAAATGGCTTCTGCATTTTTTAAATGCTAAAGTTTTGAAAGTATTTACACATGTAAAGTTAGCATGTCTTAATTCATAAATTTCTTCGACTCATACCAAGCTGAACACGAAAATGTAGTTGGCAAGTTTCTTCGATCAAAATTAGAGGAGATGAACTTACAAGAAAGCTATCCCAACTGATAATTCGGTTTTGAGCTAAAACTTGGTGGACAGCACATAATCGAGCATGCTGATTCCGAATCTGATAGTCCCTTGTGCTGTTGGAACTTTCGAGACTGACTTCCAGAAAGCCATGTCCTGGATCTCGGATACCCATTTATCTCGAACAACTTTTCTGATTCGCCCAAATGAAAGGGCGTGTTGTAAAATATACAAAGAACCACTTTCCAAAATTTTTCACTAGATTCTACCCGTTTTTTTTTAGGTAAAACGTAATGTTTACAAAGGATCGGTCGATTTTTGAAGTTTTTACCTAGAAAAAGCACCCAGCATCTAGTCAAAAACTATAGAAAGGAGCTCTCTGTAGGTTGGATGTGGGTGTGCGTGTGGGTGTGGGATGTGGGTGTGGGTGTGGGGTGAGGTGCGGATGTCTGCCTTAGCTCAGCCCACATTCATCTACATCCATATCCACACCCATACTCACATCTACACACACAGCCACAGCCACACCCAAAAAATATTGTTCTGTTGATTTTTTGTAGTTCTTACAATAAAAGCTCTGTTCAAGAATACGTATGGTTGTTAGAGTACCTTTGATCTTTTTGGTTTTTTCATTCTTAGGACAAAAAATAAAAGGAAACAAAAGAAAAAGAACATCCCAAACAGTGTCTAGTATCTATAAATAAATTTTAGCTGGATCAAACATAGCGTCTTGCAGAAACGAGGGCGAAAATTGGGGCCATTTTTCGTAATTGTAGTCCCAGCATA